GTCAACGTTAAGGTGAACGTTGAGGTGAACATTAAGGTCAGCGTTAAAGTGAACGTTAAGGTAAACGTTGACATAAACGTTGAGGTGAGTCAACGTTGAGGTGAACGTTGAGGTGAACGCTAACGTAAACGTTAAGATGAACGTTGAGGTGAACGTTAAGGTGAAAGTTGAGGTGAGCGTTGAGGTGAACGTTAAGGTCAACGTTGAGGTGACAACGCTCTCGCAGAGAGTACATGTCATAGTAAAATAAAATGGCTTAGTCACGTGCCGAAAAATTTTTTGTGGGTGATCTACAGGGGTTACTTTAGCCATCCCTATAATAGTGATTTGAACCGAGGAAAATTTCCTTAATCGGTTAACCGAACCGAATTATTTCATTCAACCGATTGCCAAACCGGTTAAGATTAACTATCTACGACTTACCTCTTCTGGATATAAATCTTGTACTCTATATCTAGGATAGTGTTCAGAAATCCGTAAACCAAAAACTTTTTCTTAATGGCTTCTATAACAATTTCTTCAAGTTTTCCTTTTGCATGTTCGTCCTGAATGACTATGATGCGAAAATGGCATTTTTAATTGTTATCGTTATAGTTGCAAATAAGAATATTTTTTATTATCGCCAGCATTCCTTATTTATAGCATTGCATTGTTATACGAAGGAAGGATACCTTTTATGGACCCCATAAAAGGTATCCTTCGTACGTATAACAATGCAATGCAATGCAATAAATAAGGAATGCTGGCGATAATAAAAAAATAACGTAACACTAAAGATTTTATATTCTTATTTGCAACTATAACAATTAAAAATGCCATTTTCGCATCATAGTCATTCAGGACAATTTTGTGAACATGCAAAAGGAAAACTTGAAGAAATTGTTATAGAAGCCATTAAGAAAAAGTTTTTGGTTTACGGATTGTCTGAACACTGTCCTAGATATAGAGTACAAGATTTATATCCAGAAGAGGTAAGTCGTATAAAATAGTTAAAATTTAAATTATTGATATATTTCTAATCAATTCTTCCTGAAAAAATATTATTCACAAAGTCACATCTTCAACCATCAGACCTTTCCAAAACTTTTTCCGAATTCGTAATAGAAGCACGTCGACTTCAAGAAAAATATAAATCACAAATAACTTTATTAGTTGGTTTAGAAACGGAAAATATAACAAGTTCATCGACAACCGAAATTAAAAACTTAATTTCTCAATATGATCTTGATTATTTAGTTGGATCAATTCATCATGTTCACGAAACACCAATTGATTTTGATTTAGAAACTTTTGAAATTGCGCTTTCAAAATCAGCTTCATCAAATAATCTTACTGAAAGTAATGTTGTTAATTCACTCGAAGAAAACTTATTTGCATCATATTTTGATAGTCAATACCAATTATTAAAAGATCTTAAACCAATGGTGGTTGGGCATTTTGATGTTATTCGTATATTTAGGCCAAGCTTTGAATTAACAGATTTTTTGGTTAAGAAAATTGAGAGAAATATAGAGTTGGTTGTAGAATATGGAGGATTGTTTGAAATTAATTCAGCAGGATTTAAAAAGTTACAATGTGCCTATCCTCAGAGAGATATTTTTAAGGTTTGTAAATTAACAATATATCTAATCATTTGGGTCAACATCAATAAAATAAGGTAGATTTATTAGAGAAATCTAACTTATTTTGATTGATTGCAGTTCATTTAACATCTGTTTTTTTTTCTTTTTATAAAATCAGTTGATAATAGAAAAAGGCGGAAAATTGACAATTTCTGATGATTCTCATAGTCCCCAATCTGTTGGTGTGAATTACCGTAAACTTTACGATTATTTAAAAGAATTCAATATCAATGACTTATATTATTTGGACATTGATCTTGAGAAACCAAAACAGGATAGAAAGGTTGATGTAAAGGTTATGAAAAATGTATTAGATCATGATTTTTGGAATGGAGAGTTGTAAATTTTCCTTTTTCTTGAAATATGTGAATAGAAAAAAATACTGTAATACTGACTTGGATAAAATGAAAATATTTCTAATACTGTATTTATTATATACTTAACTTAATACAACCATATTTAATACCAATTAAATTATAGGGCATGTGTATCGAATAAGATTGATTCGAGCATGTATAAAATTGAATATATACACTATACTTGACATCTGGATAAACTGTTCTAGCGTAACCAACCTAAAAAATTTAACTGGCCAATCAGATTTCAAGACAGATGTGACGCAGAAGAAACTTGAAAAATCAAAACAAACCAAAAACCCGCTCATAACTCAACATTTTATCTATGAAATCACCTGTGCACTAACAAAAAGTTTTCCTTGTGAAATTTTGGTATTACTAAAGCTATTTCTAGCCTAGCTGAATAGCAAATCCTAATCCTAATCTAACAGCGAAATTTTTTTGGCGAAATTTTTTAGGTTGGTAACGCTAGATCAGTTTAAAATTTTATCGATTATAAATTAATACCTCCTTTAATATCCAGTTACGATTTTACTGCAAAAACAGCTTAAGTAATATCGAAATTAATAGATATAAATAGACCATCTAATTTTCACTATATTCACACTTCACTGATATAAATCGATAGGGTTCCGAGTTAACTCCCCAAAGTTCATTTTTCTGAAGTATCATTTCACCGAAGTCGTAATATTAACAGTTCATTTTACTAACATGACATAATTGGATCTATATCATTTCACCGACAGCTCATTTCACAGACAAGTTTTTTTTAAAAAATTGCAACTCTAATTCTAAACCGACCATAACGACAATGACCCGGAATTACTTTTCGGTGAAATGACTGTCGGCAAAATAAACTATCGGTGAAATAAACTGTCGGTGAAATAAACTGTCGGTGAAATAATCTGTCGGTGAACTAAGTTGTCGGAAATTGGTCTTCTCGGGAAAAAGGGATATCGGAATTATGGGGTCGGAGAAATAGCATTTCGGGAAGGTGGGCTTCGGGGCAATAATGTTGCAATATTGATATTTTAATTCTTAAAATAGCACCAAGAAATTACAGATTCATCTACTAATTTGGATTGAAATGAGTTTGAATCCTGGCATTTAATACCATCCCATACATCCAAAAGAAATTCTCTATATGTTCCAAGTTTTTGTTGACAAGATCTCATATATGCTTATACTTTGCCATATACTTAGCATAGTTAAGGTTTAAATTTCTATCGAATCACTGTCTTGGTTGATTTTCAAACGTTATTCATTCTTGATATATCAACGCTTAATATCCAGTGAGAGCTACAACAAAAACATTAGAGACTGAGTTCGAGACCAGGTTCGTTGATATTATTCGGACTTGGTATCATAATTGTTCCGAACCCAGACCTTTGTGAAGTAGGAGGTTCAGATTTGTCTAAGTAAATATAAATTTTCCGATTGATGGGAGTCGAGGCGGAAATTGTCTTACGTAAACGGAGACATCCGGCATTTTACAATAGTCGAAGAATCTGATTTGATTGCATTACAAGAGTTGAAGAATCTGATTTGATTGCATTACAATAGTCGAAGAATCTGAATTGATTGCATTGTGCAATTTAACGTTAGATGCTCCGTCCCCGACTAGAATAAAACTAATCATGTAATCAGTTTTCCTTGGCAGCCTTTTCCCAGCATTTGAAGATATCTTACGTAAAAATCCTTTAGTACACCTGATTTAATAGGTGAACTTTAATTGTTTTTGTGCAAATTAAACTAATGTCTGCTATTTGTTTTTGACATATCGAGCATTACAAAATTGGACCTGAATTAGTTCCACCAACTACGTATACGTACGTGTACGCATGTAGATCCAAGTACGATATGCGTGTACGCATGTAGATCCAAGTACGATATGCGTGTACGCCAGATATATTTTAAAACGCATGCATTATTGAATTATTTATAGCATATGAATGTGGGTCCTTGGACACGGGCACATAATATTTTTATAAATGTTAATAAAAAAAAAGACCAAAATTGATGATGCATAAACTTTTTGTAGTTTCTGTTATAAAAAAAAATAAATAAATAAGTAAATAAAATGAATAAATAAATAAGATTTAAAATACATCTCAATGGCGCAAGATGATTATATAAATACTAAAATAAGCTCGGCAAAAAAAATATATATAATGATACGTACGTACATATGTAATTGCTGCACATATATACTTTAATAGCATATAAAAATATCTTAGAAATTGTCTTAAATGATAAAAAACCACAGATTACGTATATTCATGAAATTTATTAGCCAACATTGTAAACATCGATTCGGCCGACGATCCATAGTTTAGAAATAAACCGAAAATTTTGGTTAATGCTAGTATAAAAATAATTGGCTGGACTGTTTGGCTTGAACAAGAATTCTGTTAAAACGAGTATTTATAACTATAATGTTAATTACATGATATTTATTTCTGAATAGAAATAAATATTAAAGTATGACAACATTAGAGAAAAACTCGTTTGATCCGAATTCGTACATGTGGACAGATTTAACATTAATAAAGCAATTTCCATTTATATATCATTATTTATGATGAGATTCACTATGTAAAAAAAAAAGAATGGCTTACTGTTACATAAATATTAACGTTAAGGTAAGAATAAAAAATGGACATCCAAATTAGAGTATTTTAACCTCGTCATATTTTACACATTTTACAAACCTATTATTTAAAAAACGAATTTCTGTTATTGAAATTTTAATAGTTGCAATATTTTAAAATGTTTTCAAAATTCTTTACATTTTTCCTAGCTTTTGTAACTTTTCTAAACATTACCACACGATCATATCCAATTCCGGTAAATAACAAGTTTTCAAATTGTACGTATGTAAAATATATTTTAGATTGTGTACTTGAATATATGCAAATCTAATTACGAATGATGCTAATACTTTATTTCCAAATTTATTAGTAAAAAATGAAGATACCGAAAATTTAGTAGCCAGACAGTATAATCCTACCATCATACGGACTCAAATTTCATTTGAAACAATAGTAAATCCGCCGTTGCCTACTGCTGTTGAAACACCAACTACTACTACTACTACTACAACCACACCTTTAGTCTCTTTAATAACTACGTCTTTGGCTGGATCATCTACTACAATCACATCTTTAGTTGGTACTGCTCCTGCATTCGCAACTGGTCCTTCAACTGGTTCTACTACAACATTCGCATCTACAATCACTCCTGCTATTGAATTCACATCTCTAACTGGTCCTACTACTACATTCACATCTTCAACTAGCCCTACTATCGGTCCTGAAAATACAATTGCTCCTGAAAATACAATTGCTCCTGCAAATACAATTGCCCCTGAAAATACAATTGCTCCTACCACATCGTTAATCAGTTCTGTTACTCCAACCTTTATTCTGCCTGCTACCCCAACTTCAACAGAAGAAGCCCCAACTCCTACAGGAGTATGTTCCTGTTTAGGAGAATTCTGTGACTGTTAGAAAAGAAGATTTGTGAAACTTTAAAAAACAAAAAGTAGATTATGTGAATTTAAAATAATATCATTGCTTGTGTAATAAGCAAAAGTGACAAAGTACATTAGGAATATGTCTATTCATTAATTTTATATTATAAATCAGAAATTCTTTGATTCATAGCATGAAATTTATATAATTTCAGAAGATAATTTAAGCAGAGATGTCAGCATAAATCATATTACGAACTTTAACAAGGTGTGAAAGCAAATTTATTAAATTTTAATAGTATGTATAAATGTTAATATAAATAAATCGAAATTGTATAGAATCAAATGTTAAATAAATGGGTTCGTCAAAAAATAACGATTTAAAAACTCTACCAAATAGTTCAAATGTATTACGGTAATTTGTATTTCGTGCTTTAAAGCATTACTGGAGTTGAATAACAGAATGATAAATTGTACCAGGATCAGTGTTATAAATTCAAAAAATTTTATTGGCGCAAATGCAAAAAAAAAAATATGCACAAAAAAGAAATTTATACGCGGTTTATATATATGCGCAAATTTAAATATATGTGTGCTGCGCGGAATCCAATTTACATCACTGGCCAGGATCTTTTTATTGGATACTATAATCAGTAGCAATGATGGTAAATGACTCAAATGACTAAAATAACAAATAACTAGGCATTGGGTTATTTCAAAGCCTGAATGACCTAAAAGGTCATTTAACATATCGACATGTTGATTATTAGTGACGCTACCACGTACTATTATTGTCTAGAGCACTAATTAATATTAAATTATTGAGGCGTAATTAATTTTAATGATCACAATCAGGGTTGTAAAAATTACGGTAATTTATAGTAAGTGACCAAAATGGTAACTTCCGGTATAATGTTGCCTGACGAATGACGAAACTTACGTCATTGACGAATGGCGAAACCTTTCGTCAAGCTGATTTCTAAATGACGAATTGACGATTGACGAAACCTATGACGATTGATGAAACCTATGATGAAACCCATGCGGGTACCCCGATGTCAAGCAAATTTCGGGCTGAAGATCATTTTCGATCTACATCGGAACCAACAAACGTAAAAAATGCAAGAAATCGTAAATAACTCAAAATTCTTAAGAAAATTTAAATACTAATATCCCATTCGTAATTAAATAATTTCGTCAGACACCATTCTGGTCAAATTTGCAGATCATTTGGCCTAACACACATGAGTTTTAAACTCATGCGCATTAGGCCAAATGATCTGCAAATTTGACCGGAATTAGATTGTTTTGAAATGTAGATCGCATAAATTACCTTCAATAAAAATATGAAGCTGAACAAATATGAGTTTTTTGTGAAATGGTTGATATACTACTGTAAGGACTTAAGCCAATTCACTAACTAGAATACAAGTTCATTTATGAAGCCATCCGCGCATTAGCGAAAAAAAATTTGGTACAGAATAAGTGCGATATTCGTTTGATCAATGAAAATCTGTTCTGTCGATGCTACTAAGTTAAATCTAAATATAATTAATTACCTTATTGAGAGATCCATGCATTCTATTTTAAAATTCATTTGAAATAAATTTGTATAAGAATAAAGATGGGTTAAAAACAATAACGATAGGAAATAGAAAAAATTTTTAACGACACTAAACTCTAAATATGCACAATTAGTAAGAACTGTAATAGGATGCATAAGAATATGTTATTATCTGCGAAGTAGGCATAACCAAAATCTAATCTAGATCAGATGATGAATAATGATGAATTAACCATTCTGATCATTGATCTAGGTTTGATTTTTAGTTATTCACTAGCAATGTTACCCAAACTATTTGGGACGTCCCAAACCATGTGATAAATAGTATCACACGGTTTCAGCAATAACAATAAAGCGGTAAATACCTCATACGAAATTATTCATCACGTAATTTGGTATTTATCACTTTATTGTTATTGCTGAAACCGTTCATCACATAGTTTGGAACGTTCTAATACATCACCATTGTCCACATCATGGACCATAACATATACGTATTATTCCAGCTAACTAGAGTGCGTATGCAAAATCATATATTGATTGGATATCACAATCATAGTGATCACATTGGCAGATTTTTATATAAACATGCATACATAACATTATATACAAGTGCCATAAAAAGATTCGAACTTTTTGTCTTGTTTAAATTACATTTGTCAATGTTTCATTAATCGTCAGAGGTTTCGTCAATCGTCAAGGTTTCGTCAATAGTCAGGGGTTTCGTCAAATGTCAGGGTTTTGTCAAACGTCAGGGGTTTCGTCAAACGTCAGGGGTTTCATCAATCGCCAAGGGTTTCGTCAGACGAAACCATGACGAAACCATTTCGTCATCACGAAAATAATTTCATAGGCATCATTATTCCGGTAACTTACTGATAAGTTACAACTTATTTTATTATTAATTCGAAATCAATAAGATTTTAAGATCTGGCATAATAAATCAAGATTTGCTATCGCGATGAAATTACATGATAAATATTATTTTATGATAGTACTTGTAAACTAAATTCTTTAATTTTATACTGAATCAAAATAATTTTAATGATTGTTAATTTATCCTAATTTATCAAAGTTGATAATTTGCAATCTTGTTCAGTTTCTCTATATCTGCAAGTTTTTTTTTTTTTTTTTTTTAACCTTCGCAATGTCACAAGAAGGCAGATTTTTATTAGGTATTTAGATAATATATTCTTGGTTACCCTGTCCTGTACCATCCACCACAATCACGCCACCCTATAACCTCGTGCTGCTTCATAACCTATAGCAGAAGTGTTTTCCAGCTGTTTTATTCTTACTGGTTTTTCCTAACGGTTTAACTATACTATAGGTCTAAACTGAAGGCCACCCAGATCGACATCTGCTATACTACTTGTACCCTAATTCTATAGATAACCCAGTAGAGTTCTCATACTACTGGGTTGC